GAAAACCTTTTTCCTTTCGGGTTACCTCAGATAGTGCGAGCCTTGAATTAGAGTAATTTTTATTGTACCTCAAACCGAACACCGACACTGACTGGTGTAGTCACGCGAAGTGGTGGTCGAGCACGCGAGCCCGTGCTGAGAGACGTGAGGCACTGCATGGCCGATCGTTGACTCGCACGCGAGCTGCAGCCACCATCACCGAACGCAGGAGCTCCCCAAGCCAATGTGTGGCCGAAACCTTGACCTTGCAGCTGTTCTCCGAACAGATGTACGTGCACGTCCCAGCGCCCCGCTTATGCAGCGCCAGTGTGCGGGACATCTCTCGGGTGACAGTGCATTTAACCCTGGATTGGCTATGTCCTTTTTAGATCGTTGTAATGGGATCGTCGAGAATCCCTATTTGATAGTCAGTTTCTGCGAACGTCTAATCGATACTTCCTAAACCGCATACGAGTTGTTACTCGTGTTGGCAAGGAATGAGGCTTTGTCAGCGCTATCAAGCAGAACCGTGACTTCTGTAGGTATCAGTGTTGAGTTTGTGGTGTTGTTGTTGCTTTGTTAACCTTTTGTATGAGATTCCGCGGCGGCCCGTCCGATACGGACGCACGAATTCACATTGAAATCATGGGCAAGTCGTCAGCATGACCCGGGCACGAGACTGAACTTGGCACCGCGTAGAAATCCAGATAGTTATGCGTTTAGGACATGCTATCAAGACCCTGAGAGACTGGTTGGAGTCTGGTGTACTCGATGGGTGTGTCGTGTGGATTTTCTTACCATAAGAAAGTGCGCTTATAGCAATGGTTATGAGTTACGATCTCGATGGTACCGTACGAGGTTCTGAGTACGGAAAAAGGCGTTGTACGCCTCGAGTTCTGGGAAGAGAGGAAGTATCTGCCACATTTGTTGGTCCTTTTGTGATTCTCGACCGAGTCGGTGTCTTAGCCTGACGGTTGACCTCATCACCGGAGCTTACAAGAGTGCACGACCTGTTCAGTGCCTCGTGGAGAGGGGACATGTGCGTGACTCTAAGCACGAGGCGATCTTTGACGAGCTGCATGTGGGAAGAACCTTACCTTTGATGAGGTACCGGTGACCTACTGGATTGACGAATCCAGCAGGGAGAGTCCGGAAGAGGTACTCGTCAAAGTCCGGCGGGGTAACCATGGCTAGTGCGGTGTGACTTGGTAGAGTGGGAAGGTTCGGACGGAGTATCCGAGTTGAGTGGTTTGAGCTTCTCTCGTGTGTCAATTGTCCAGTTGGATGATTTTTCTTGGATTTCCGGGGACGGAAATCGTTTAAGGAGGGTAGACTGTAGTGCCCAGCTTATTTGTGGATTATTTGGGAATTTTTATTGTTATTATTATTATTAATTATGGGATGATTATTATTTTTGTGAAATTATTTACATTATATTATTTATGAATGTCTTAATATTATTTGCCTAATTGTGATTAAATGCTAATTCTCTAAATGTCTAAATGATTTATATTTATTATTTATAATGTGTAAATATGTATTAATATATATATGTAAAATATATTTATTATTCGACTTATTTTATCGTGCGTTTGATTTTATACCGAGCCCGAGAATATTCGCGCGAATCGAGCCATTTTATTTTGGCAAAATAAATCGAGAGTTTGAGCCCGAGAGAACCGTATGTATTGAACCGGTGCCCCGGCCCACATTAGCCCGCGACCCGAGTTGGGCCCGGCCCGATAGATTTTTCCTCCCTCTTTATTTTCACGCGTGAAGTGTGTGGCTTGAAGAAGAAGAAAAATTAAACCCTAGACTTAATAGATCTTGCGCTCCTCTCCCTCTCAACAGATAAATCCCGCAGCTTCGTCCCTTCTCCTCTCTCTCTCGCTCTCGACCTCAACAGAAGAAATTGCGTCGCCACCATCGTCTTTCACTTCTCCTCCTCGTTCTTTCTCATCAGAGAAGAGAGAAAATCTCTCAACCTGTCACCCTCTCATCTCCCTCACTCAGGAATCCCGTCGATCACCTCGTCCACCTTCATCCCGCCATCATCGTCATCGCAGGCCCTCCTTCCGACGACCTGCAACTTTTCGGCGAAACCCGCTCGCGAGCCCTTACCTGTAACTCATCCTCGCCGGCGAACCGCTGCCCCTCCACCACGAACAGAGGCAGGTCCTGACGACCCTCACCTGCGAACATCAACCCCCACTCGCGACCCCCGCCTGCAGCTTCTCCTCGCCGTGAACCTGCTCCGCCCGCGCAGCCGTCCTCCACGTGACAGTTCCCTTTTCCGGCGAGCACCCGTGCGACCAATCGGCAGCCTTGCTCCTCCGCGAGTTCGTCACCTCCGCAGGCCGTCATCCTCAGCCCCTCGCGAAGGTCGTTGACCGCTGCTGCACCTTTTTCCTTCCTGCGAGACGCGAGCCTCTGTCGAGCTCATTCGAACCCTTCTCGCTCGTTTTCCGAGAACGGTATCGATTCTCGACTTCTCGTTTATCTTACGTTATGATCATTGTGTTTGTTGTGTCTATTGGATTCGTGTGAATATATGAATGTACATGTCGGTTTTGTGTGTGTTCACATATATATATATATATATATATATATATATATATGTTTATTGTGATGTTATAAATATTATATTATCATGATTTTATGTCAAACTCGTCAATTCGTGTGAATCGAGCGAGAACTGAATATAAGTGATGAGTTGCCGTGGATTTAGGAACTTAGGATTGTTACGAACACAATGGCTTTGGCCTTGTGTCGATTGGAGGTGTATATTTGCCGTTATGATTTTTTGAAGTTTATAATGGCTGTTTTGAATGTAAAATTCATTATAAATTGAATACTAGTCCGATTGCCTTGATATTTTAGGAGCAGCTGTCTCTGATGTACATATAGCTTGTGTAAAATTTTCGTGATTTTTGAAGGTCTGGAACTATTTTTAAAAATTAATTTGATTTCTGTTCAGTTTCTTGTAAAATGCATAAATAATTTTGTGGTGCTCCAATTTAGCTGATTTTTGAGTATGATGTCACTGGTGTATTTATGAGTCGTATAAGATTTTTAGAATATTTGAACTAGGTTTGATAGGGTTAATAATTTATTTTGTATTTCGCTCCGAATTGGTTTTAATTGTGATAAATTGGTCTGAAACTGAAAAATTCTGAATTTTGGTTGACATGCTGATTAGGTGATGTTTAGCATGCTATAAAAATTGTGGAATTTTTGGAGATCAGTTAGGCTCAGTTCTGATGGAAATTCGATTGTTGGTTGAATGTTGTTTTAATTTTATAAATTCACATGCTGAGTGTTTAAGGCTAATATTTTTACTTGTTGTTCATATGCTGGAATTGCTTAGATAAAAATTTCATGTCCTGAATCGTCCATTATCATGTTTTTTTAATTTAAACTCGCTTTTGTTGAAAAACTTGTTTGAATTTTATAAAATTATGTACAATGAGTTGGAAGCTGGAACTTGGTTATTTTTCTTAGAACTGGGAGGTGAATTTTATGTAAAATTTTCAGAACCTAACTCGTTGATTTGATATACCTTCTAATTCAAGTGTGAATTTTAGAAATTGTTTTCTATAATAAAATTTGTTAAGTGTTGTTAACCAAATGTGCTATGTGTTTACTTGTGGCTCGTTTGTTTGTCTTTCATTTGTGATTATGTGAACTTGAGTATGTGGTTTGATCGAGTCTAAGTCCTAGAGTTCCCATATCCACAGAACTTCACGAACCACTTGGTTGAACCAAGTTCGGCTAAGTCAATTTGTGCATTTTCCACTTAGGTCTAGATTAAAGTGTTGACTTTAGTATCTGGGCTTAATGTAGGTGTCTAGAGGTGTTGACCTCGCCTCATTTCGAGATTTGTGACTTTGAACTGTTGCTGCAATCAGGTGGGTACATTTATGATGTATTCCATATTTATCGCACTTAATATTTCGTATAAATGCTTTGCTTTGAAAAATGATGTATGCATGAGAACCCTAGTCTAAGTGTCCCGTATGTTAGTGCCTTTGAGGAATGCATAAACAGTGAGAGGTCATCGGCCCATAGATTCGGAGAGGTGACGCCCCGGTCCGTATGATATTCGTGAAGGGGAAAAACATCTCTACTGTCTCCTGGAAAGGATCCCAGGCCCGTAGCCATTCGGTGATGGGAAGGTTTCTAGTTACTTCCTTGCCGTGTGTGATCGGAAGGTTGTTGTATGTACATAGGAGGTTTGCGATAGGGCCAAGTAGGGAGTTAGACTATTGGATTCTATGCATACTGAATACTATGATTATTATGGTTTAAAAATGTTATGCAAGATATACTGTGCGATAATGGTGAGCTTGTTGGTTATGCTCACCCCCATTATTTTCTGTTGTTGTCTCCTTTTCCTTTCTTTAGGTTGAGCTGAGTTGGTGGCGGTGGCGTAAAGACGAGCGGGAGGATGGTCATTGGTCAAATTATGTTATCACTATATTATGTTTCCGCCTGTTTATGATTTGTTGAACTGAAACTTGACTTGATTTATTTTTCCCGCTTGGATTTGGAAATTTTATTATGTGCTTATATCCCTGCTTTGATTTTGTATACTGATTATGTGTTATGCATGAACTTGTTACTTAATTATTTGCTTTCATACCTTGGATTAATTCTTGCTTCCGCTTTCGAATTATGTTTAAGTTTTGGTTGAACCTTGTTTCATGCTAGACCTATTTGAATGTTTTGAGACTTATGAATTTAAGGGATAATTTTATATCGTTAGTCCGAGCATGTGTAGGTTCTTTTGTTTGATGGATGTGTTTATTTGATGTCATTAGCAAGTAGCGCCCGTTTCTCGTTAAATGTTTTAAATTTAAAATTTTAGAAAAAAAAAAACTCTGATTTTTATTAATTAATTCGATAAATTCTTTAAAATAAAACGGGGCGTTACACAAGGGGAGGGAGGGTAGTTACCAAGCTGGAGAGTCTGAGAGTATAGGGCTTAAAACCCAAAATCAAAAGTTAGGAGACAATCCTAGACCTTCAGTGCCTCCAGTAGAAAAACAAGTCGAGGGTGGTGAAAGGATAGAGGGTGTAGGGATAGAGGATTCTAAAGGGGGTGAGGATAGAAATATTCCTGATAATATGTGTCTAGATACTTTCAGCCCAATCCCTATCCAAATTATTACCAATAGGCTGGTTTCTGATCTGAATAAGCAGGGGAAAAAAACCTTCATCAGAAAACCAAGACCTATTGAAGGCTTCTCTGAAGGGAACCTTGTTGCTCCTAGTATCAACAAAGGGGAAGATGTTTATAAGCTAAACCTTAATAATAAGAGAAACTTATGTATTGAGTCTTCTAAATCTTTTGTTTGTGGTGAAAATCTGAAAAAAGCTAAATTTGACCCTGTTAACCCATGTGTTAATCAAACTATTGCTGAGGTGGAGGTGACCAGCCGAAAATGGTCCCCAAGTTCTAAATGAAAGTTACGGTGTGGAATTGTAGAGGTTTGGGAGGACCCTCTACAATTTCCCAATTCAAGGAAATCCTCAGGGTCCACCTCCCAGATTTAGCTTTTATTTCAGAAACAAAGAAAAAAAAGTCTTTTGTGGAAACCATGTGTAAAAAATTAAAAATTGGGTCTAGATGGATCACAGTTGATCCTTTAAGTTTTGAAGGAGGTCTTCTTTTGATTTGGTCTAATAACATTAATATTATTAATATTATTTGCCTCCAATTTTGTATCCAAGTTTGCTTTTCCAGACCTAGTTCAAATGATATTTTGTGGGCTATTTTTATATATGCTAGCACTGATTCCAAGATTAGGGAGCTGCAATGGAAACCCTGGAGAGTCTCAAAGGTAGTTGGAGGGATTGTTGGGTGTTGGGGTGCGACTTCAATGATATCATTTCTAATGATGAAAAGAAGGGGGGCAGGGTTAGAGAGGAGTCTAGCTTTGTAGGTTTTAGATCCTTTATTAGAAATATGGGGATGCAAGATGGGAGCTTTCTAGGCCACCCATTTACTTGGGCTAACAATAGGCAAGGGTTAGACTTTGTAGAAGCCAGATTAGATAGAATGTTTTCTCCCCTGGTTGGATTCTAAAATTTCCTCAGTCCAGTATCAGACATATTCCTATGCTGTCATCAGATCATTTCTTGATGCTATTGAACTCGGATAGAAACAGTGAGCAACAAAAAAAAAAAGATTTATATTTGACCCAAGGTGGGCCAAACAAGAAGGATTCAAAGAACTGATAAAGAAAACATGGAACAAGCCAGTGGGAGGACAAGGATTGTACAGCATACATCAGAGATCAAAAAATGTTAAGATGGCTATCTTAGGGTGGAAATCAACTCAGATTTCTAACTCAGCCATCAAAATAGAGGTGTATAAATCCAAACTTGCAGTGCCGATGGAGCTGGGAGAAAAAAAGAATTGGAAAGAGTGGACTGAGTGTAGGGAAAAGCTGAAAGAAGCATATGAAGAGGAAGAGATATACTGGCAACAGAAGTCGAGGGCAAGGTGGCTAAAAGCTGGAGACAAAAACACGAGCTTTTTTCATGCTTGTGTGAAGCAGCAGAGGAGGAGAAATTGCATAGGACAACTGATTAGAAAGGATGGCTCCAGATGTAAAGACACGGCTGAAAACTTGGAAGAGATTCAGAATTTCTACAAAAACCTGTTTCAGACTTCCAACCCTCCTGAAGATAGCAGCATCCTTGATGGGTTACCCAAGACTATATCTGAACAAATGAATCAGATCTTAACTCAACTGGTGGAGGAAGAGGAAATAAAGAGTGTCTTGATGGAAATGCATCCTAAAAAAGGCCCAGGTATAGATGGCTTTACTCCTTTCTTTTTTCAATCTAATTGGGAAATTGTGAAAAACTTCCTTTGTGCAGCTGTTCAAAATTTTTTCACCTTCAGGAAAATGCCTAAAAACATAAACCATACCTTAATAACCCTCATTTACAAATCCCTGAACCCTCAAACTGTTAATGATTTCAGACCGATTAGCCTGTGTACAGTCATATATAAAATTGTCTCTAAAATCTTAGCTAATAGACTAAAAGATGTTCTTCCATTTTGTATTTCCCCAAACCAAGCAGCTTTTGTCCCGGGAAGACAAATTTTGGACAACATGGTCATTGCTAATGAATATATTCATTATCTTAATAGTAAAAGAAAAGGCAAAACCTATCTTATGGCTCTCAAGTTAGACATGGCTAAAGCCTACGATAGGGTAGAATGGAATTTCCTTGCTAAAGTTATGGAAAAAATGCGTTTTTGTTCTTCTTTCATTGCTTGGGTTCTAGCCTGTATTAATTCTTCTTCTTTTGCATTTAATTTGAATGGTCAGCCTTTGGGTTTCATATCTTCTTCTAGAGGGCTTAGACAGGGGGATCTTCTTTCCCCCTACCTCTTTATTATTTTGTCAGAAGCCCTCTCTAATTTGGTTAAGCAAGCTTGTTTAGATGGCTCTTTTCTTGGTTTCAAAATTAGTCATTTTTCTCCTATTGTCTCTCACTTATTTTTTGCTGACGACTCTTTGTTCTTTTGTAAGGCAACACCTTCTCAGGCCTATGTGTTGTTCAATATTTTGGCTCAGTATGGTATTGTTTCAGGCCAACAAGTAAACCTGTCCAAGTCTACTATCTTTTTCTCTAAGAACACCCTGCCAGAAATCAAGGAAGAAATCTGCAGCATTTTTTAGGGGATTTCTCTAGTGAAGTCCACCAAATATTTAGGGCTCCCTCTTGGGATTGGTAGGTCTAAATCTAATACTTTTAGTTTTGTTATTAATAGTGTTTTGGGTAGGATTTCTAATTGGAAGAACTGTTTTTTGAGTGAGGCAGGCAGGGAAGTTCTTGTTAAAACTGTGATTGGCGCCTTGCCCACTTATGTAATGTCTTGTTTCAAGCTCCCTGTAGGTGTATGTAAAGAAATCTGCAGACTGGCAGCCAAATTTTGGTGGGGAAACAGTGGTGAGGGCAAGAATAGAATTCATTGGGCATCTTGGGGTAAGCTTTCCAGACCCAAATCTTCTCATGAGCAGAGTAGTTAAAGGGAGATATTTCCACAATTCTAATATCTGGATATAAAACCTAAACACTCTTACTCGTGGATGTGGAAATCATGGTTGCAAGCTAGAAAGTCTCTTCTTCTGGGTATTAGGTATAAGGTTGGTAATGGTGAATCTATAAATATATGGTCCTCCCCTTGGGTGCCTAATATTCCTAGATTCATTCCAGTCTGTCATTTTCCTAGGGATAAAGATAGGTTGAATAAAGTGAGTGAACTTATACTAGCTGATGGGAGGGGTTGGGACAGAGAGCTTATTGAACAAACATTTCACCCAACTGATGATCAATGTATCCTGGATATCCCTCTCAACTCTGAACACCAACATGATACTCTTGTTTGGAATTGGCACAAAAAAGGCTTTTTCTCTGTCAAATCTCTGCACAATCTATTGGTTAAAAATCAGGAAAAAGAGAAACCAGGGACTAGCAAAGGCAATGCAGCAATGAAGAAAATGTGGAAGAAGACCTGGGGACTCAAAACTAAGCCAAAGATTAAAAGTTTTTTATGGAGATGTTGGCACAATTATCTGAGCTCTTCAGTGGCCTTAAGACAGAAAGGGATGGTTGTAGATGTTACTTGCAGATGGTGTGGAGAAGAAGAGGAAGACAGAGATCATATATTATTTTCCTGTCCTAGAGCAAAGCTGGTATGGGAGTTGGCAGGGCTACAATGGGAGAGTGGTAATAGCCAGAAACAGAATTTTCAAGACTGGTGGGTTATGCTATGTCTTCTGAAGGAAACCAAATGGAATAGGGATAGAGTCTTTTTATCTACCTATATCCTCTGGTGGCTCTGGAAGACGAGGAACAATTGGATGTTCAGAAACCAACTTTGCTCTGAAAGGGATACAGCTGAAGGAGCAAAAGGGGAGTGGATGGAGTTTAGTAATATTGTTGCTGGATCTGTACCTTGTACTTAGCTTTTTTCTTTTCTTTTATTTTTCTTTGTCTTTTGCTTATGTTTTAGGTTCATGATAGGTAGGTCAACCTTCTCAGTTGACACTGCCTTATGTTTTATCTAGTCTGCTGTGTTTTTTGTCGTATTTAACTCTTTTGAGTCTGGTTTTGTTTGTGGTATAGGATGATGGTCTGTATCTAGTGTTTTATCTATTAGGGTAGTCTGGGTTTATTTTTTAGGAGTTTGCAGCTTTTGTGTATATGGAGGGGGAGATTGTGATGTAACTCCCCCCTAAATGTTTTTCCCTTCCTGCTCCTATGTGGGAAAACATGCAGCCTTTTGGCTTGCCCGATTGTAAATGTTTTTGAGTTATTTATAAAAATTCTATTTTNTTGGGTGATCCGATCACAATTCAAACATTCTCTCGGCAAACTATTAATCAAATCTCTCCTAATAATTTTGGGTGTTCCGATCAAAACCAAACCAATTCTCTCGGCTAATTAGGGCTACACATCAAGAAATGGGCACGCACAAGCTCGCTCGGTCTTCTCCATGCTCAACGGCGACGACAAGATCATCCGGGAGGAGCTCGACGAGTCGCTTGAGAATCTGGGATCCGCGTGCCAGAGGAGGAGCTGTGGACGATGATCGGAAACATTGACACGGACGGGGATGTCCAAGTTGACACCGAGGAGTTCGACGCCCTATACGTGGCGGTGATAGTCGATGGCGGAGCACGAATTCAGGGTGACCATGTGGAGCACCATGGCTACGCCCATAAGCCATCATTTGCTTCCACTTATTCTCACCATTAAACTCAACTCGCAAAATTTAAAATTTCTTTGTTTTCTTCAATTTAATTTACAGGTTCTATTTCGATTTTCTCAACTTGAATTGTAGTTTTATTTTATGTTTCCAGTCACATATCTGAAGGAATCATAAATTTTATTCATATTTTTAGCCGGAGAAAATCAAGAAGCGAAGGGAGTTTGAGTCTTTATCGATGGCAGTCATGAAGAATTCTGAATTTCAGTTTCAGGTTTTCTATTTCAATTCAAGTTGTTTTGCTTGTGTGATTCGTAATTTATTGCAAGTTTTGTGGATGATTTTTTATCTTTCGTTCCACATTTTTCTATTTCCGTCAATTTTATTATATGCGAAATTAAATTGGATCTATGGCCTGATTTCTTTTCCGTGTGCTTTAAAATTGTGTCTTGAATTGCTATAGTTATTTGATGAGTTAGTATTCGTAATTGTGTAAATGGAGTTGCCATTTGATCGGTGTATCTGCTAGAAAAAATTATGTAAGTTGGAAATTTTCTGTGAATCTGTAGTATATGTGTTTCTAAATTTGTTGGAATGTTTGTTAGCCTTTTTTNGGATCCTAAATGATGTTGCCTTAGTACTATTTGGATGATTAATTCTGCTACTTTTCTTAGAGTTGTTTAGTTCTCACAATTTTAGCTTTGGGAGCTTAATGAAACTTTGAATAAAAAAATAATGTGAAGCATAGAAGTTAGGGGTTGGGGGCCTGGATTGGGGGTTGGGTTGCTCGAAGGCTTGCTGGTTGGGGAGATGGCCAGGGAACTATTTTTTATTAGCTTGATATACTGTTTTAATATGGTAGCATGTAAAATGGTGTGATATTCTCTATTATAACATGCAGATTATGGAAAAGGATTTCCCAAAATGTCATATACAGAGCATTTGTCGTCAGTACTCTAAAGGAGAAGCTCACAGATTCAAAGGTCAGGGATAATATTATTAACTAAGTTAATGAGGATGTTATTTTTCTTCTTGATCTCTTAAGCTGATAAATCATAGATTTATATACTAACAATTTCCATGAGTGCTTGATTAGTTTCCCTTTAGCATTCATGTTGGCTACAGTGCTTTCTTAACTCATTATATAAACTAGTAGTCACCCGTGCGATGCACGGGAATATTATTATCTAGAATGTTTTTAAAAAACAATTTTTTATATAAATTGTGTTATGCAGGCAATGATCATGATCATAATAATAGATATATAAACCTATCATTAAATTGAAAAAATCATATATAATTGAACATTTCCCTATATACAACATTATTGGTTTGATTCTTTGGCACGTCATCTTCGCCACAAGTTAAGATTTTCAAACCTTTTCGGTTAGTGACACGGGAAACAACAACATATAACTGGCCATGACTGAACACTGGTTTCTTAAGAAATAAGTCAACATGAGATAAGGATTGTCCTTGGCTCTTGTTTATAGTCATGGCGTAAGAAACCATAATGGAAAACTGTCGTCGCTGGAACTTGAAAGGAATTCTAACATCAGAAGGAGTTATGGCCATTCTTGGAATCAACACCTTATCACCAGCATGATCTCCTGTGAGTATCTTACACTCAAGAACGTGAGTCGATAGCTTTGTCACTACCAATCGTGTCCCATTACACAAACCCATAGAATGATTCATGTTTCGCAACAACATGACTGGAGTTCCAATCTTCAAATACAACTCATGGTTCGGTATTCCGGAATACTTGATACTATTCAAAAACTCAGGCGTATGGAGATCAGACAAAAAATCATTATTAGAATCCGATTTGCACGTACTGTCAGAGCTCAAGTACATACGACCATCCAACAAATTCAATGATGTGATGTACTGATTGATAGACTCGACCACATCCAACGTCGGCGCTAATATAGCCCTATCCTTCAAATAACTTGGATCATCAGGTGCCTCTTTATACATTGGATATGTGTTTTCAACTATCTGAGCAATAGGATCATCAGATGGTTGAAGCAAAATGTCCTCGGGTATGTCTATAGGTGCACACCCATCTTCAACCCTCCGATAGTTCCATCTCCGATGTTGGCTATCCAATCTGCAAACCGTGCAAGCTCATCACGTTCATCAGAATTAGCAAGTCCCTGAAGGCGCATTTTTTCGTAAGCCTAAGCACAGTACAACTCCTCCATATGTCAGAAGAATTAATGGCAGCATTGACTATGTCCTGACGGCTACCCTTTAGAATGACAGGAAGGATTTATCGAAAATCTCCACAAAAAACAACCGGCTTCCCACCAAACGGTTTGTTCAAGTTCAAAGGATCAATTGCTCCCATAATACCCTGCAGCGATGTCTGTACAGCTTCAAAACAATGCTTGTGCATCATTGGTGCTTCATCCCATTTTATTAGAGAAGCACGAATTATCAATGGTGGATCTATACATTCTGATATTACTCTCGACTTGATAGTTTCGAAATGCATAGACAACACCTTCTTCGAATTCATTGATGAAGGTTGGGATATTGATTGCTTTACTATTCTAGTAATTCGACCTCCCTGAAAAAAAAAAGAAAAATAATATTAGATATTAGATATTATAATTAACATGATGAGAAAAATGGATAATCATTATTTTTTATTATGAATTAAACCTCAATGTCATGAAAGACAATTTCAAGGATGTTCTTGTAGGATGAGTATTGATTAGTCCTTTGGAAAACTCGAATCACCCTCAACTTGAGCATTGGCTTGTTGATCCTTGTTACTTGCTTGATGTTTCCCCATGCTCTCGCCATTTTTCTGTTTGTATGTGAAATTTTAGTGTGAGATTTTTGTGATACGTGATATAGGCTCCGACGTTTATTTTATAGCCATGGGATGAAAGTAGATAATAATTAGATGATAAGATTAGTTAGACTCACGTTAATCTCTCTTGATAAGATTCATTGCACGTGATTTTAATTTCAGAGTTCCAATAAATTCAAACTCTAATATCATGATAAGATTAGTAAAACGTGATTTATCAGATTGTTAACTCTAGATTTATCCACCGTAGGACTCTGCATTTGTTATGTTTCTTAAATGAATGACATTGAATTCAAATGAAATATATTTCGGTCAATCCAAACACAAATGATTATCACGTTGGTATGGACCGAAATTTTTATGATGATAAGATAAGTGGAAAGTAGTTAAGAAGTGGAGATTTTTGTGTGATAGCATCATTACATAATTACCATCACCATCAACCTTTCCATTAAATTTCGGTCCATACCAACGTGATAAAAAAAAATCTTGAAAATTTTTTTACGTCAAACAAATAATATAATTACGTCAAAAATTTTGCTTCAGTTATTGTTAAATGTACTTAATTCAGTTATTGTTAATTCCGTAAAATTTTTTTATATAATCTTATACTCGAAATATTTGTTAAAATTTGTATTAATTTATATCTTGTATCATGGAATTCTACCAATTTTAAACTAATATACAGTAGAACTCAAAAATAAAATGTTCAAATTTTCACATTCATGCGACATTTATTAAAAAAAAATATCCAACGACATTTTACGATAACAAATATAATAACATTAAAATTTATTATAGAATTCGGAATTCAATGACATGGAATGAAATTAAAATTCATAATAACCAAACTCTAAATATCATAAATATCTCCTGCTCCTTGCTAATGTTGAGGGAGAATATCAACATTTTGAGGGAAAATCCCACCATATTTGATAACATGAGTTCTTCCATAAATTTATAAATATTAATTAAAATATTTTTTAAAATTACATAAATTTGATATTACAAATATAAATATTTACCTGTTCATCATGAAACAGTATATGGAATGCGTTCCAACTCTCCCGTTGGTGATGCGTTTCAACTATTAGGACTGCTCTCAAGTGCAAAAAAGGCTTGTTTCTCCTACTCACGGAATCGAGTGTATCCCAGACTGGCGGCATTTATTATCAATGTGTTCCGAAATTTTTTTTTTCTCTGTAAAATTTATCTCGGTTTTTTTTTTTTTTTCTGTTTTTTTTTTTGTTCTAAACTGTGAATGACGTGAATTGTTGAGTAGTGGTAGTGCATATGATTTTATACCAAACAACTGTTTTTGAACTAAAGATACGCATAATTATGTAATAATAATTATGGATCCAATTGTGACTTATCCACATATCCCTATAATATCTCTAATCAATTAATTTTTGGATTAATCGTGTAATGATAATTATGGATCCAATTGTGACTTATCCACAATCCCAATAATATCTCTAATAATAATTATGGATCCAATTGTGACTTATCCACATATCCCTATAATATCTCTAATCAATTAATTTTTAAATTAATCGTGTAATGATAATTATGGATCCAATTGTGACGTATCCACAATCCCAATAATATCTCTAATAATAATTATGGATCCAATTGTGACTTATCCACATATCCCTATAATATCTCTAATCAATTAATTTTTGAATTAATCGTGTAATGATAAATATGGATCCAATTGTGACTTATCCACAATCTCAATAATATCTCTAATAAACAAATTTTTGAATTGAAGTATGAATTTTTTAAAATTTCGTGTATTATAAATGCAGTAAATATGGTTTCTATATTTAGGTTGTCAAAGTTTTTTTTTTTGGTCAAAAGTTTCTAAAAAGGTATTTTAACAACAACCTTTTTATATATATATATAGATTTCTTACATCTTGAAAAATAAGCACTTTCCAGATTTGATAGATGTTTAGCTTTGTTTCACATAAATATTTTCTAAAACCATTGAGTTGATTTTTTATTTTTTTTTTGTGCATGTGTGTTTTTTCTTCGTTCAGGTGGTGGCGCATATACGTTTCAACTTAAGTGCCCACGTGTTGGGTGACATATTTCTTTGAAGTAATTCTTTTACTTCACGTATGCAAATAAACAATAACCAATTCATTCGTTTTCAACCAAAAAAATGTGTTCATTCATTATTTTATTTCAGGATGAAGCAACCCTGTGCTCGGTTGGTTCGTCTTCAAAATCATCTGAATATCGGCCCATTAATATTTCCGTGAACTTCTATTCAGGTCTTACAAGAAATATTTCTGAGTATTGCATGTTATGTCTTATTGATATTTTATGATTATTTATGTTCATGAGATATTTACATGTCTGAGTTGTGTGGAAATTGTTTCCTTTAAGATCCTGAATGCAAAATTAAGGTTTCGACGACAGCTTTCTTTCCCCATCTCAAAGTAAGTTTTTCCTACTGTTCACTCCATTTGGCAACGTAAGGTATAAATTACACACAGTTCATAAAATCCTATTCTTTTCAATTATTTTATTAGGTTGATGCAGCTATTGTATCATTTAAATTAAAAAAAAGCGGTGGATTATCCGTGTTTTTCCTCCACCAAAAGCTTCTTCTCAATGGTAATGTCAAGAATTTTTGGCAGACATAAGTTGGCTCTTCATTTCCACTTGATATTACAATTGATATTTAGGCAATGTTTTGCTAGAGAAAATACTTTTTTATTTTTATTTTTATATTTGTCTATTTATTTGCAGTGAATAACAATACCAACTTCTTATCGAAATTCTTATTTTGCTTCTGTATTAAGACTTAATCACCAAGCGCTTTATGTTAAGTAAACTGTGTTTTTAATGAAAATCATAAAATTTGTAGAAAATCCCTACATCACGTATGCCCTTCCCCTGGTGTTGAAGCCACTTTGTGTGTTGTTAATCTTTCACCCTCTGTGAATTTCACTTTTTATCATTAGTAATAGCTCAATTTTATTTATTTATTAACATTATAATGATTCATTCGCATTCGATAAATTTTTTGGTGTGAAAGTTGAGTATGCATATCGATCGTTCACCATACCAGCTCTATATTATCCTGTGACCCGACTTCAAACATTTGACGAGCCTCGACTGAGCGTGGCCTCACACATATCAGTATTGTGAAGACAAAGACAATAAAAGTTGCACTCAGTATAAATCCAACAATTGTTGCGATTAGATTGAAGCACTCAAAAGACCTTTGCCAAATAAGTTTGCAATTTGCAATAAAAATGGAAGCGGTTGTGTTTTTATTTTGAAAAAGTTATGTGTGGCCTTCTTAATATTAATATATGATAAGGTCTCATTTACTTTGCTTAATAGAATTAAACAAAATAATCTAACTATTTTACACATCAGAAAGTTGTCCAACATTTACTTTACGGGATAAAAAAACAGGATAAAAATGGGCATTGTAAAAAACGGGATAAAAAAATCCGGCCTCCCCCTTGGGATTTATTTTATCAGCGAATGAAGGATACATTGTGGGAACCGCATGACACATGGGTGCCAACTAGAAAGAATCATATCCCAATCATTTAAAGTAAACAGATGATATGGTGTGACAAATTTAGTTATCCAATCCCGTCCAGGGAAGTAAACGACCAAGAGTAAAAGGATACGACATATTTTGAGATTTTAATGATATTGTTAAGACACCTATTTATACATTTACATAAGATTATACTATGGTTTGTAATATAATATTATAAATTTATTTTTATCATTTGTTATCATTTAGTGAAATCCATCCTAATCAAAATTATCATTTTTATTTGTTTCTTTTGTTCTCATATCATATTTACTTAAAAAGACGCTATTATAGAAGCCACTAAGAGCACCTAAATATTTTGTCTCTCAAAATGATTCAGTTCTCATCATATATCCTAAACTTAGGTAATTTTAAAATTTATGCTATGATATTTTGTAAAAATTTTAGGAAATCACGACAATTCCTTTTTAAAGTTTGTTTCTTTCCACTAATTTTTTTACATTCACAATCATAGATTGGTGAATTGATTTAAAAATAAAAATCAAAACTACAAGATTTAATAACATTCCTTAAATAAAAAATATTGTTTAAAGAAAAGTGTTTCATAATATATGATTTTTCATCGTTTTTATTTATTTTATTTCCATAGTGAGATAAGATGAGATGTGAAAAATATAAACATTTATATTTAGAATAAACCCTAAAACAAAGATTTAAGGTAACAAATTTGATCTTATTTTGATAACAAATCTCTTATTTTTGTTAACAAATTTGATCTGATTGTGATAACAAATCTCGGATTTTGATAATAAATATTTTAAAATATCGATTTTTTTGGTAACACACTTCATATTTATTTACACACAATATATTGCCGATAATTTTTTAGATTTATTATGGTAACAAATTTCACAATTTCTCCAGATTGTCTGGAGTTAAATATTGCAAAAAAAATCTCGAGATTTGATAAATGATACATATCAAAATAAAAATATTATTTTTTAATCAATCCAAAAAGTCTTACCAAATTAAATTGTAACAAACACCGTTAATTTTGGTAAACATTATGTCACATTGATATGACACATAATCTTCAAAATAAAAAATTAATTGTTGACTTACTAATATAAGCAATATCAATGGGCCCCACATGTCAACCAATTTAATCGAATTTTGGTAACAAATTTGATCGGATTTGGATGACAAATCTCGAATTTTGGTAATAAATTTTATCTTAATTTCATAACAAATCCCGGATTTTGTTAACAAATTTGATCTGATTGTGACAACAAATTTTGGATTGTGATAACGAATCTCATATTTTGATAACAAATCTTTTAAAATATCGATTTTTTTGGTAACACACTTCATAGTTATTTACACACAATATATTGCCGATAATCTTTGAGATTTCTTTTTGTAACAAATTTCACAAATTTTTCGGATTATTTGGAGTACAATATTGCAGAAAAAATCTCAAGATTTTGATAAATGATCATATCAAAATAAAAATATTATTTTACAATCAATCCAAACAACCTTACCAAATTAAATTTCAACAAACTCCATTAATTTTGGTAAACATTATGTCACATTGATATGACACATAATCTTCAAAATAAAAAATTTATTGTTGACTTACTAATATAAGCAATATCAATTGGCCCCACATGTCAACCAATTTAATCGGATTTTGGTAACAAATTTGATCGGATTTTGATAACAAATCTCGGATTTTGGTAACAAATTTAATCTTATTTTGCTAACAAATCTCGGATTTCGTTAACAAATTTGATCTGATTGTGACAACAAATCTCAGATTTTGATAACAAATTTTTTAAAATATCGGTTTTTTTGGTAACAAACTTCATAGTTATTTACATACAATATATTGCCCACAATCTTTGGAATTTCTTTTGGTAACAAATTTCACAATTTTTTCGGATTGTTTGGAGTTAAATATTGCAGAAAAAATCTCGAGATTTGATAAATGATACATATCAAAATAAAAATTTTATTTTTTAATCAATCTAATAAGTCTAACCAAATTAAATTGTAACAAACTCCATTAATTTTGGAAAACATTATGTCACATTGATATGGCACATAATCATCAATAATCGACAAAATCCGTGACACATGTAACACGTTCCACATTTTTTGTTTTTGTTTGTTTTTTTTTTTTTTTTGTTTTGACAAAAACGGATAAACATATTTTTTGAAGTCGATCGTAATCACATTATTTAGGAAAATAAATCCTACTCAACTTAAAAACCTGATGCAAATCAATTTTGAAATTCCCGTGCGGGACATATGTCACATACACAAATGTCTATATAACCATCACCAACATTGAACCAAAAATATTCTACAACCAATACATCCCACAAAACATATTTTTTTTCACAAGTTTTTTCGTATACATTCAAAATGACATTGGATTTTAGAGTAATTATGGATATCAAATAATGTTGGCAACTATAAATCGACTATAGGTAACTGGAGGATCATTATCAAAGGTCAAACCAACATTCTTAAGTGGAGGGGTGAATTTCCTATGTATCGTTTTGACTTTAGGAACTTTCTAACTTTAATGGATGTTCATAATGTTGATGAAGCCATGTTGTTTGGTACGTTGTAATTTTTTGTTTATTTCTTATTTTGATTTTTTTTTTTTAAGTTAAAATCTTTAATAAACTATATTATACATTATACATTTCAATATGATGCATTGTCTTATATTTTTGTAGATGTTATTGGATTGGTTGTTTCAATACAACCTATTCAAATGAAGGTTGTCGACTGAGTTCCTACCCAAATGATTGTATTCTCTATTATGGATTTGAAGTAATAATCTTTAGCATTATATATTCATATTTTATATTCTAATGTTTTTATATGATTTTTTTCTTCTATATTTCGATTTTAATGTTTTACGCATGTAATATTGTTAAAAAAAATTAAAATATCAATGTTTAAAATTTATTTTCGCAATTCATAATATGCCCTTTAAAAACCTCTTGGACATTGTGTAGGGGAAACATAAACAACTGCACAGTTTGGGGCCAGTTGTATGTTGTTGTCTCCCGTCTTATGGTCTGAAAATCCTAATTTTTGGCGACGATGACGTGCCAAAGAATTAAAGCATGAACATTGTATATAAGACAATGTTCAATAATATATAGATTTTATTTTTATTATATTTCTTAATTTATTAATTATTAATGTCATGATCTTTCCTTTAGTAAGTAATTTGAACGTTAACTTAAAATTGCTTTTTAAAAGGGACGGAGATAATAAACTCCCGTGCATTGCACGGGTACTGTACTAGTTATTTAGTAAAAATGCTGATGAATATAGCTTTTTAAAACTGAATTACGAAGCCACCATGCGGCTAAAGCTACACCCTTAAAAATATTTTTTCAGACTATTTATTTTTAGCCTTTTCTCTGTTCTTATTATTATTTTTCTTTTCTTTTTTCTTTGAAACTTTATTGTTGTTAATGCCATTGTCATCAAAATACTCTACAGCCATATTTTAAGGTGCATTGACAACGAAGCTCAGTTTGGTGGTAAGACGTTTCACTTATAATCGATAGGTCATGAGTTTAAGTCACCGAGAAAGAAAAATAAGAACACTATTGATCCTCCTTTTAAAAACAAAAATATTGTAAGGTGCATTAGAAGGACCAAAACTATAGTTTTGACCAAAAAGAGATAGCAATTAAGATAAAAATGCATAAAAAAAATACTTGAAAAAAAATGCATGAAGAAAGGGAAAAGGAATGCTTTAAATTATAATCCCACATAATACTTCATTTTATAGTTCATTCACCCAACATTTATGTAATTGATGTTGTATGTTTGGCCTACTGCATAATTGTTCCGTTGTACGATAGTGTATAAGTGTGTACGATGAACGATTTTAATTTATGTGTATAAATTTACCGTCTTTTGGGTAGTTTTATGAGATGTTCGATCGTACACATGACATGAGACAGGGAAATGCTACAGTACTGTAGGGGAATGATTCCCTCAAATCAATATAAACCATTAAATCTGTTATTTTTTATATGGGCCTTTAAATGTGGTCAAATAAATGTGACGTGACAACTTTTTATTTGAGTTTGATGTAAGAGAATAGTTCCCGAAAAAACCTTTCATATCTACGAATAAAAGGCTTCCGGTTGTTTGATCAACCGCTGCCCGTTGTTGGACCTTAGCATTTTACCATGAGATATATATTGTTCTCACCGAAATTTTACTATTGAATCACATATATCCATATAC